TCCAACATAGCTTCCGTATAAGTCACAGGATCCTCCTCACTAGTCGTGGCTTCCACCAAGTAACTTTCTTGGTCATAGCCGTAACGATTTGGAGGCTTGGATGCCCGGGTAGATCTCCTAGGTTGGTTATTAACTAGAGCTTGTGGGATATCTCCCACTACTTCTAAGCTCTCCTCATCATGAACAACTTCCTAACGATGATTGTTCAGGATGTAATCTTCTTCCAAGAAATGGGCATTTCGACTACAGAACACCTTCTGTTCTCCTGGGTCATAGAATAAATACCCTACAGAGGCTTTTGGGTAACCTATAAATAGGCAACAACTGGTTTTAGATTCCAATTTGTCAGCACTTGTTCTTTTAACATGTGTCGGACAACACCAAATCTTCAAGTGTCTCACACTTGGTTTCTTACTGGACCAAAGCTCATAGGGAGTCTTTGGAACAGATTTGGTTGGAATCCGATTCAGCACGTATATCGTAGTCTCCAATGCATAACCCCAAAAGGATGTGGGTAATTCCGAGTGTACGAGAAGTGATCGGACCATATCCAATAAAGTCCGGTTCCTTCTTTCTGACACACCGTTTAACTGTGGTGTAGCAGGAGCTAATTGTGATATTATCCCATTTTCCTTTAAGTAGTCCCCGAATTCGTCAGAGAGATATTTGCCTCCTCGATCTGATTGAAGGGCCTTATTGTGTCTTCCCAACTGTTTCTCGACCTCTTGCCTGAACTCTTTGAACTTTTCAAAGGATTTAGACTTGTGTCTCATTAGGTACACATAACCATACCGAGAGTGATCATCGATAAATGTTATGAAATAAACGTGTTGGTTACGTGTCCTAACATTCATGGGACCACATACATCAGTATGTATAAGGTCAAGCGTGCCTGTTGATCTTTTGGGATTACCGTTAAATGGCCGTTTCATCATCTTACCCTAAAGGCAAGGTTCACAGGTTGGGAGATCTTCTACAGTTAGAAAATCCAAAGGACCATCTTTACCAACCTTGTGATACGATCTATGTTAATGTGGCCAAGTCGGTAATGCCACAGGTACGTGGGATTAACTATATCACGGGTTCTTTTCTTGGGGTTATTATTTGACGTAGTTTTGGTTATATTTGTTTCTAGAGAAGGATGGAGAACATAGAGACAGTTTCGGTTATATTCTCAAGTACTCCATATGTGAGGAATTTGTTATTCCTTTTGATAGTAATCACATAACTAAAGAGAACAAAATAACCATCAACACAGTTTTGAAACATAAATCAAATTTCTTCTCAAATTGTGTACATAAAGGCGATCTTTTAATGTAATTATTCCTTCTCTAAAATACAATTCTACTGTTCCTATGGTTGTAGTTGCAACGCTTGCAGAAGTCCCCAAGTAAAGAATCACTTCACTGTCACTCAGTCTTCTGCTTGTCCTGAACCCCTGCAATGTATTACATGCACTTGTAAAGCCCCGGAGTCAATACACCAGGAAGCAGAAGTGACCAACATATTGGTTTCTATGACAAATGATTCGAAATTACCTTGTTTCCTGGTTTCCAGGTACTGAGGACAATTCCACTTCTAGTGGTCAGTCTGGTTGCAGAAGTGACAGGCATCTGATGCCTAGTCCTTCCTCTGCTTTTTAGGCTTGTTAGTTTTCTTCTGAGGTTTCTTCTTTGCCTTCCTCTTCTTCTTGCCCGATTTGCCACCTTCAACAAGCATGGCAATGGGTTCATCCTTCTTTATCAGTTCCTCGGCCCTCTGCAACATATTGTTGAGTTCCTGAAGGCTAACATTTAGCTTGTTC